GAATTGAAGTTTATTTTGTAGAACGAGAAAAATACTCGAACCAAATTATTATGCCTCAGCCTTAAAAAACTAAGTATTAGAGAGGACTTGAAAAATCCCTTATATTACCATACTTTAATCCTATTCAATATTTAGTTATTAATCCTATATACTGTCTTTTTTTGAATATTGGCAAATGGCTTGTTAAATAAATATAAATTAAAGAGAATATATTAACAAACAATGTATTGAATGAATATAATTGATAATGGAAGAGTTTCAAGTACTATCAGATGTTAAATAAATTTCAAAAAAAGTAATATTGGTAAAGGTTTCTTGAATTTTACTACTGATCAGTGGCAAAATTTTTTTACAATATATACAACTATTATTTTATAGAAATATCTTTTAGATATAAATTGTCAAATTTTAATATATCAAATTATAAAATAAAACTTATTAAATAAAGCATACAAAAAAATAATCACAGTTATTAAATTAATTAAACAAAAATATGAAGTAGAAAAAATCATATCAAATTTTTATTTTTCTTTGTATTTATATAAATGTGTATATTATTATAAGCCATTATATGTTTTTTGATACTTTTTATTTAAAAGAAAGAATGATATATTTGATAAGTTTTTAATATATATTAGTTTTATTATTTATAGTATTTATTAATAAACTTTAATATAGATTCTTTGCTAAATAGTGTTGTAACAAAATGGCAAGTCTGTCACTAATCCAGAACAGTACTTATGTTATACTACAGATGGGCTAGGAATAAAGATAAGTCTCTAAATTATTTAGCATATAAAATTTTGCAGATTAATTATGTCTCTTTTGAAGAAATATAATTATTTATTCATTATTTTAATAGAAACATAATTCAAAAAACATTTGGATTAAGTGATCTAAATTGCAAAAAACCTTTGTAGATTTTTTTTTTTAATCTTATATTTAAAAAAAAAACTTTTTTAATAGTGAGTGACATTTAAATTATGTTTTTATCTTTAATTTAGGGACCTATTTTTATTGAAGATGTCAAGAGATTTCAGATAAATTTCAAATAGAGGGTAGTAAAAAAAGATATAGTATCGAGACCTCAAATGAAACAGTAAAAGATCAAATAAATAAGTCACAAAAAGAATCAAAAAGGATATAGTTAAAAGACCAATTGGAAAAAAAAATAAGACTTATTGATAGTGAAGTTTCAGTAACAAGTAATGGAGATATCAGAGTACTAAGCTATAGAATAAAAGTAAAAAGATTTGAAAGCAATGAGAGTATTATCAATATAATGAAAACCATGAGAATCAAGAAAAAATAATTAATAATTTCAGATCAAATAAAAGAATGTTATTATAAAAAGGAATAAAAAGATTAAGTACTTGATATAAAACTATGTTAACAATTGCAAAGGAAAGTTATAATACTAAAAGAAGCTTCAGACGAATACTTAAGAAAAGAAAGACTATCTGAGGAAAAAATAACAAGAAATTAAAGACAAAAAACTAAAACTTACTTACAAAATTTCAGTAGCTAAACCAGGAATGTTGATATTGCCAAGGATCAAGAAGAACCTGTGGATAATGAATTGGATGTTGAGAGTATGGAGCTAAAAAGGAAAGATAATAAGAAAATTAGAAGCCAATAGTAAAATGTCACAAAAAAAAAATGCCACAATTTATTAAGATCAATAAAAAATGACAGTTCCAAAGATCAAATACCAGAATGTTGTCATAATCATGATTATAATTATAATTACTATCATGTATTATTCTTTAATTATAAAGAAGATCTATATACTGTAAATAGCAAAATTTCTAGATTTATAATATTGTCACAATCTAAAACAGTAAAGAGAGAATAATATTGAGTTAATATTAGTTATTTATATATAAAACAAAAAAATAAATTATTTTATTTGCAAATAATTTATTAAAAATAGTTACAAGTTTTCAAAAATCCATTTTCCTTAAAAATCAAACTTCCAGTTAATCGTTATAAATAAATAATATAGAAAAACAATCAGTTGATAAAGAAATTAAGAAAAAGTTATTTGTCTTAAATGAATTTATTGATGATGAGTAGGGTTCCTAACAGTATTATTTCGATACTAGTTTGATATTTAAATTTATTATAAATTTATATAAATAGATTATAACCCATATATTAAATTTACTATAATCAATACTATTTTGATATCACTTTAATATTTTTTAGAGCTTTAATGATAAGGAATTATAAATTTTAATTAAAAAACAATTTATTTTGAAATTGATAATATTAGAGGATACAAAACAAAGATTCAAAAAAATATATATTGATAGTGAAATCTCCAATCAACATCTTGAAAAACTTATCTAAATTGATCAAGACTAATGATTAAAAATATTGAAATATCATTATAATTGTAATTATGATTATAATCAAAAAGTTTAATTATTTTATAAAATTATACTTAGAATATATATGCATATATATATATTCTCTAAAATGTCAAAATAAAACACAGATACAAACCAGCTGGTAATCAGGATATAGTGGACAGAACTATTAATAACACTAGCAATTTTTGAAAAATAATACAAAAAAAATTGTAGTGATGTTAAAGAATCGATATTTTGAAATTGTTTATTAAAAGTTTGTCAGAAGCAAAAAGGGATCCGCAACCAAGCTGGCTATCAACCATAATAATTGGACAAATGATTAAAATTAAGAAAAGTAGACTTATTCTGATATAAAAACTAGAAGAGAAAAAAAAGATTATAATAAGAAGATGGCAAGAATTGTAATAATGATAATGGTAGAAACAAGATTGATATGGTGATTTTATAGTATTATTATTATTATTAGTATTTTATAATTTTTACAAAAGAAATACAATACAATTTAAATTTATAATATATGATTATAAAGATAATTTACAGGTTTTGATCCCATTGAAAGACAGAGTCTTAATTCTACAGTATTTAATAGTTTAACACATCTAAAGATTTTGTGCTATTGATGAATGAGTTGAATTGAGAAGGTTTATACAGTATAATATATTTATTTTTCATATTTTTAATGATTCAATATGATTTAATAAACGCATTACACCAGCCTGATCGCTGATTGAAAAATTTAAATATTAGTTTATTTTCAACAAGAGGTACATCACTTAACCGCTTATTTATTTTGTACGAAAAGGCATCACAAAGGAATAACGTTTTAAGAATTGCAACTCTATAAGGACATTAATACGCGTCATTATACCTTAATTTCGGCAATTAAGTGTTCCGGACAAAAAGAATAACTAGAACGAAAATCACTATTTTTGAATATTCAAATCTCCAATTTATTTGACTTGACATCACATCAAACGAGATACTGTATGCATGTTAAACAATATTTATATTGGTTTATGCACAAAAATTTAGCTCTTTTGTGTTAAAGATCTTCGTCAGGTAATCCAAACAGGCTATCAAATGAGGACCAATTGGGAAGTTGGACCATATAAAAATTAAGGCACACCACCTACGTATCGAGTTATAACACATTTATTTGTAGTTTTTCTATTATAAAACTCTTTATTTCGCTTAATTCGTCATTTATTTCTGATTTTTTTTTCTTTTCAAAGTAATTCATTCATTTAATTTCTAGAAATTCTTTTCTAATTCCTAATAAATTAACCGGACAACAAGAATTTTACCCCGCAATTACACAATTTTCCTAGATATCGCAACATTTTTCTATTATTATTTTTTGAAAATAAAGATAGGATTACGTTTTTGGTATTCACCCAGTTTTATGTTCAAGAGAGTAAGTTACATAGGGGTGTATGCATGTATATATATATATATATATATATATTATTTTGTTTTATTTTTTCATTGGAAACGAATGTTCAATAAAATCTGAAATTCGATTTTTGACATTCTTAATTCTCGCAAAAATCCGCCTTTTGTAGTTAGTTTGCATTTTCAGACCGTTTTGATGCTTCAACAGTGATCTTTACCTGCGTTGTTATTATATTATAGATTCTTTAATAGTTTGACATCATCGCGGGAATTCACCACCTTACCTTATACCTTTTTGAAAAACAATTTGCCACACGATGGAAGATGACATAATCAGTCAATTAGAAGGTCCCAAACAATTTTGGGATGGTAGGTAAATTCGCTTCGATTTTTTTTTGCTATGTAATGAATACTCAAAAAAATTTTTTTTTCTCTTTCTTTTTGGTAGAGCTGAATGCTATACTGGTCCAAGGCGAGCGTGATCAAGATACGGCGCAGAAGTCTATAGACTTGTACGTCAATATCATGACAAAGTCTCAAGGTATGTGCATCTTTTGTCATTTATTTATATGACATGAGTCCGAGCTCATTTATTTCTTCTTACTCAATATACATAGATGAATTCCTGAAACGAAACATGCATCTTGAAAGATGTTGCTTCAACTTGCTAGATTCACCCATGTTTCGGAAGTTTTCAGATAAAGTGATTGAGCGTTTGATCTATCTAGCGACGACACTTTTAGACTTGAGGCAGCTGTGGATGATATATAATATTCTTCTTCTAGTGGGAAAAGAAAATTCACAGTACCTCAAGTTTATGCTGAACATTAGAAAATGTAACTTTATTCCAAAATTAAAACAACACATCAGCGAATTAGAACAAGGTACGATCTATCGTTTGTTTCCTTGTAACCGTGTGTGATTTACATATTTTCTTACGTAAGAAACCTCTTCTCGTTATAAGGAAACTGTGTGCAAAAGATTGCTGCAAATTTGCTATTTGATATC